CCCCCCCAGTGACCTACACCATTAGTTCGTACACTGTTCGAAACTCTTACTCAGGGATGCTTAATACCAAATCACACATATGGAACAATCTTTCAAAGATTAAAACTAGTTGCTGATTTTTGGTTAAGCTTCTCTGCCCCTTCCCTTCCCTTCCCATACTACGCGTAAACAACAATTAATATCCTTTGCACACAGAAGCTTAGGACCAAATGAGATGGTGATCCCTGCATCTAACTTCCTCTAGTTACCTCCATTTATGCAATATTAAAAAAACTCTTTTCAAAGGGATGATCACTGCAAACTAAAGTCAAAATACTTGAAGGCTTTCTGGACTAGTAGTCTTTTGACAGAACAAGAATTCCAGAGTGCTTTTAGTGAGAAAAGTGTTTTGGCTCGAGTTATCGCAAAACCAAGCAAAAATTAACGGCAAAAACGATGATCAGCGTTGCTATGTCAAATGTGCTATGCCAAAACTCGGAAAGTTGACGACAAAGTAATACCTATATGTCACCTCGCGTTGCAGGTGACACAAAAGTTGACACAGGATGCCAGACAAGAGGATGCTTCATGTATAAATGCCAGTGGCCCTTCTAACCAGGTGAACAAATATCTGCCATACAAGAATTAGAGAGGAGAAAAATAATTCCATGCTTACAAGTGAAATTTTACATACCAAATATACCTTGTTCTCTTGTCTGCACTACGATACATATCACACATATTTTACCTAAAAATTTGGGGATATGTAAATCTTTTGAAATATTAACACAAAAAAGTTTGAATTGTACTAGGACTACTGCAAGTATGTATGTACTGCTATTTTCACCGATATAAGGGAGATAATCGGTAAACTGGAGACTCCCAAGAATAGAGTGCATTTGTTCCATTAATGCCAATCCTACAGAAAAGATTTTTCTTCAAAATAATACAATGCAGTGTTAAGTTTTCTTCAAGTCTATGACTTTTATTTGATAAAATACAATAACTACACATCAAAACGCGATGAATTAAAACATGACATTCTTCTTATGACATAGATGAAATTTAACATGTACAATTAGAATAGACAGCAACAAGTTCCATTGTTTAACTGAGTTTTGGAACATGTTTTCTACATTCAACCTGTGCTATTTATTAAGTCTTGACAGTAACCCTCATTCCACTCAAAAGTGTGTGGATTGCAGGATCTAGAATCAGAATTAGCTGGTGACCTAACAGTACATTCGTAAATGTGATATGTTGACTTACTTTCATCTAAATTCTATTGCACACACGATTTATGATGAATTGAAGAACGAAGAAAGTTACCGACTAAAGTTTCTAGTAAACCAATATTCAGGCGACATGATGAAAAATTTAAATTAAACGAGAACAAAAACTCTCAGAGAAAAGCTATTCTTGAGTGGTTATCTTTTTAATGGAAATTCTTTGGTTGATTAACTCATTCGCCCCTGAAATTTCATAATGGACTATTCCAACCTTTGAATTGGAAGAGTTCAAATGTCTCTTCAGGGGTGAATTGAGTTAAACTAAAGTGTTAGTTTGCCAATTCATCAATACGTTACTTCTTAACTGCTTTATACAGGGGTGAATGAGTCAATACTCCTGAAATATTTATTTCATTGCTAATGTGTCAATTTAATTGCATGATCATTTCTTCTGGGTTGATTTCATGACCCCAATCTAGCAAAAATATTTCTTCAAAAATATTTCTTCCACATCACTTATACAGTGCTTTTAATGTCATGGGGGTTGGGGATTACTATTCATACAAAGTAAATGATAACATAAGCATCTCATGATTTGCAGACATAAATGACAAATTATGACACAAATTATCTCAGGCGAGTGGCGTAGAAAATCATTTTTCGGAATGTATGCTAACACAGGGTTGAGCATCCGAGGCGTGTAGTGCCAGTGAAGAGGGAGGGTATGGGAGGAAAAAAGTTTCTCCCTTTCTCTGGGAACTCCTTTTAGGATGATTATTAACAAGTAAAACCCGACTTTTTATATGAATCATATTAAATATTTTACTCCACTAAACATTTGTTCATTTACATAAACCTTTGAGATTTGTCAATGTGTATAGACATAACATAACAACACTATTTTGTCCGACTAAAATGTTTGAGAATTTTTTATTTATTTATTTCCTTTTTTATGATTGATACCTGCAGGTGGTCCATATTAAACATAAAAAAAGAAATTAATAAAAATATTGAAAAATTAAGTGTATGCTTGAGCATACAAGCATACATGTATGCTACGCCACTGCAGACTGAAAATCTATCAACAAATATGTTGTGAATTTTGTACCAAGATTGATTTCTCACGCATGTATCCATTAACACACCAGTCACCTGCCCCAACTGATCAAACTTACTTCACACCGAGATTGGAATATTTCTAGATAGGAATAACTACGTAATCTTTAACTCATTCACCCCTGAAATTTCATAATGAACTATACCAACCTTTGAATTGGAAGAGTTCAAATGTGTCTTCAGGGGTAAATGTGTTAAACAAAGTATCATTATGTAACACCCTGTGGCAGTTATGTTTTGTTCAGATAAAATGTTACTGAATACAAACAAAATGTCCAAAATTAGAACCACCTGATGGGATACTTCAGATAGCCCAACTTGTGAAATTTTTAATACCACACAGACTAATTTTCATCATCCAAAGTTTATGTTTTGTTGATATATGTTTTAAGCAATAAAGTGGTCTGAAAATGTACATTTATAATGATTTTACAATCTAAAGGGATGTAACAAACTCTGCATTAGCCTGTTTTAATTACCTGTATCTTTTGTTATCTTAACTTGACAAGAAATTAAATGGGCTGTTCCAAAAAATGTGTATGGAGGGGTGGAAGGCACTTCTTCTGAGACCCAACCATCCATCAAATATAAAATAATTTGATATCAGGAATGGCAAATTTGATTTAAAACCAACCACACACATAATACAAATATTATGGAACAGCCCTAACTTACTCCCACCTCCCCTATACAATTAATCATGGAATAGCCCTAACTTACTCTCACCTCTCCCATACAATTATGGAATAGCCCTAACTTACTCCCACCACCCCCATTCAATTAATTATGGAATAGTCCTGACTTAATCTTTCCTCCCCATACATTAATTATGGAATAGCCCTAACTTGAGGTTTATATCAAGTTTACATAAGGAATAAAAAGAAAATCATAAGGATGAGTCTGCAGTAGCCCCACAAAGATCACACTGTTTAAACCCTTTCACCCCTAGGTAACTTAAGAAGACTCTACCATACATTTATCTGGATGAGTCCATTCTGGCCTACAGTGGTGAAAGGGTTAAGTCTCCAGCACAGGTCTTTTTCTGTGTGTTGAAATGACAAGACCTAGTGATGCCACTGATGTCCTGTTTGTGTTGTCCTGCTGATAATACTTTAACAGCATTCATTTGGTTTTCTTCCTAACGAAATCGGTTGTGTGTATTGGGTCTAGAATTAATGAAATCTGGTAATGACACAATTGACTCGTTCAACCTTTAAGTAAATTTCCAATCTCCATTAATATGAGATCACCTTTCGATTTTGTGCACTACTTTGTCAGGGGAGATAACTCTACTTTTTGTAAACATACATTATAAGAAATGGTTTTGTCCGATTTCCTATATTAAAAGCCCTGATTATCGGAGATTATTACAATGGAAATCAAATTCTCTCATACACACAAGAAATATTTTTTCACACCATTTCTCGTCTGCATTTTGTTAGATGTTTCCACTAAAACAAACAAATTGTACAAAAAATGGCAGAATACATTTGAACACAAGTAAAACACCATCACAGGATTTAGGCACTCTCTCATCATCATCACTCCTGGTTCTGGTGTACTGAGGGAACTGTCTGTCCGTACAGATTTCATCCCCTGGTGAACCATGAAAAAATGTTTATCAAATCCACCAGGAAATCTGTTGTTAGTCACATGGTCCTTGTCATCCCGAGATTCTACCCGAGTTGTTATAACTGTCAGTCTCCTCTGATTAACACGGACTCAAATCTCAGTACATAGGGGGTGGTGGGGGTCGCCCCTGGAAGGGAGGTCGGGGACCTCGGGGTGGGGGACCTCTCATTGGACCACGGGGGCCGCTTGGAGGTGGTCCTTTCATTCCTGGATGCGGGGGTCGGCCTGGTAAAGTAAATGAAATGACTTGTTATTCAATCAATAGAAACAATTTTCATCAGCAAACTAAACTAGAGATCCCAGAGAGATCTTGGAGCCCCCCGTTGTGCCATCTGTATAGGTTCTAAAACTAAACTAGAGATCCCAGAGAGATCTTGGAGCCCCCCATTGTGCCATCTTTATAGGTTCTATGTAAGATTGATCTTTACTCTTCTTTTATTTGTTGGAATGAATCAAGTAAATAGTAAATACACCTTGCGGTAACTTTTGATCTAAGCTTCATGCTGTTGATTAGTATGATATTTTTCTTCATTTACTAGCATAGTACTTGATGTTCACCAAGGGGAACCTTAATTTGAAATTTGAGTGAAATCTGTTTAATACTTCTAGGGAAGTAGTGATAACAAATTGGAACTGTCAAAATCCAAGATATGACTGTATGGCAACCATTTTTTTCTTTCTGCTCAGCCTCCAAATACAACATGTACAAACCTATGAAAATTATCCAAATAAATATGATAAAGGTCTATCCATCATGGTTTTCCAATTAGTCCTAAACATTATTTTGTGTAACTATGAACCACGAGGAACCCTTCATGTAAATTTAAAAAAAAATCCCCCCTATGCTCTCTGAGAAATAGTGCTAACAAACCTTGAACTCTCAAAATTTAAGATGGCTACTAGTCAGCCATTTTGGTTTTCCGATCAGTCCTAATATTTAATATCGGTAACTCAGGGCCATGGGGAACCTTCACGTGATATGTCAGAAAGATTCCTCCAGTACCTTCGGAGAAATAGCTAGTGATGGGCAATCGTTTAAAATCATAATCGATAATCAGTTTGTAATCGAAAGTAGTAAACCGATCGATGATCGATTGCATAATCGGTTCATAATTTTAGAAAGTGAGAACACTACCATAACATCAACAGACAGAGTCGTTAACTATACACTAGGTTTCATTCTTTTATAATGAATGGATTTCAAGCAATTTTTATGCAGTTTTGTCAATCATATAGTAAAAATCATAAGAATGTATGACTTTCAATTACATTTTTTACATTGAAAACATTAACACTTTGATTTTAATGAAGAATCGATTATATCAATAATGGAATTTGTAATCAATAATCGGAATCAGAAAGGTCAAACCGATCGATTTTCGATTCTAATCGATCATCAGCACATCACTAGAATTAGCACTAACAAGAACTGTTTAAGACAGACGGACAGAATGATGGACCAGAGACGAAGGGTGATCCGAACAACCAAACATCTGATGATGGACTAAAAACAACTGAATTATGAATGCTCCTGCCTGCACTGATGTCCAACTAGTTGTTTGACTATTATCTTTTAATACTAGCAGTAACATTGACTGTCATTAAAGCTTTGGAGGTATTATCATAATTGAAAAGTTCAGTTCAAAAACATCTCAATCGTTTTCTATATTCACTGTGTACGGTTCAAATAGAAACTTCACCAGGACAGTGTTGTTGTTTTTTTAATAAGATAACAAGGCATCACAAGTGATACAAATCGCCTCCCATTCACATATTAGGACATGTACATATGTTAGAGGAAATGAAGTCGCTAGAGCAATTTAAAACTTTTAAAAAATAAAAAAGTAAAAGTGACCTTGACCAGTAACGCAGTAACCTGAAATGCAAACTTGTTCAAGGTATTATCATACTACACACTTGCATGAAGTTTTATGATATTCCGTTGAGGAATGAAGTTGCTAGGGCGATGACAATCGAGTGTAACATACGTATGTATGTACGGACGGAATCCTATATCCCCTCAAACTTTCGTTGCGAGGGGATAGTAATGACTTTAGCCTTCGACCCTGGTACAATGCAGTTGTATCAACACTTGAGTGGTATTGCCTTTTTCTGCTTTTAGAATGATAGTAACATATCATGGACAATCGCTTCAGCATTCAGTGTTGATCATTGACTCTGAAGGATTTAACCTACCAAATGGCGGTCCGCCTGGTCCTCTGGGCGGGGGTCCTCTCCAGCCCGGGGGTGGAGGTCGCATCCCCGGGTGAGGGGGCATCCCCATGTGCTGCATCCCTGGGGGTGGAGGCATGCCGGGTGGCATACGTGGGGGTTGAGGCACTGAAACAGATACAGGTTGTTACACAATGTTCTACAGGTTTTCTTCCCTTCGTTTTTTTGTACGTGTTTTACGCCCTATTAACAGCTATGGTCATTAAAGGATGTGTCAGGTGTTTTGGTGGTGGAGGAAAGCAGGAGTTCCCCGAGTAAAACCACCGACCTACGGCCAGTACCTGGTGACTGCACCACGAAGACCTTGAACCCGCGACCCAGTGGTGGACGGCTAGTCGTAACAGAATGTCAGATGCCTTAACCACTCGGCCACCGCGGCCCCATTCTTCTTCCCTCCGACATCTAAGAACTATCAAAGAATTGTGAAGCCAAAATATATCTAGATTCCTATTTTGTATATAATTTTTCTTTGACAAGCATTATAGATTCGCAAAAATGTTGACTAGACACTACACAAAAACGTGTCTACAACAAACGTACGAGGACCTAAGAAAACAATTCACTGTAGGAATAATTTATAAGAGTTTGATGTTCACCAGATAATTCTTAGCCAGGTGACTAACATATGACTATGTTATAAACAGGAATTAGCGATAAACATGTTTGTACAGAGTGTGTTTTCATGTATCCTCAAAATTCCAAAAGTGACACTCTCTTGCATTCTCTTCAGCCCTGGAATATGTCACAACGAATTAAAGGCTCTGTGTACTCCAACTTGTGGATGCTACAAGTAGACTAGGTTGATGTGCATTAAAACCATAGTGCAGCAGTGTAACGGTAAAATTGACCAGCTTTGAAGTCGGGTCTCAGCCTAGCAATTGGTCCGGTTTTCTTATCGAAAGTTAATCAAAAAGCCTTTGATTTTGTCACGACATATCCCAGGGGTGTAAAGAACAAGTCAGCGTAACCCTGAAATTTCAAGGATGGCTGTAGTGTATTTGTACAAAAAACTAAAATGGAAAAAAACATTTCACTTCTTACCAACTTAACATGAGGATTCCCATGCTTTAGTGTACCGAGATATAGGCACATACTGGATACCGAGAAATGTTTGCCCAGTTAAACTTTCGCCCTTCTCTTGATTCCCATGCTTTAGTGTACCGGGTATATGTATATACAGACACATACTGTATACCGAGAAATATTTGCCCAGTAAAACTTTTGCCCATCGCTTGTGAAATCCAAACTCGCCCAGCGTTAATTTCATCTTTCACATACAGAAGCATGTTGTTTTCTAACGTTTGCAGTAATGAGACATTCGCCTTCACTCCAGAGGGCAAAAAAGGCGAAAATCAAACTACAGCGAAAATCTTCCGGCGTACATTATCCGATTTCCCTGTTATGACAAAGAGGTGTACAATTGCATGAGTTAGTGCCCTGGGACCATTTTCAGACCAAAGTTCTGTAAAAGAAGAGAAGGGACACTTTTGAGTTCATGCCCTGGGATTGTTGTAAGTCTAAGTTCTAGCTCTTGGCAGGGAAGGGGACACTTACTTGTTGAGTGAACACCCTGGGACTGTTTTCAGCCCCATGTTGTAGCCCTATTTTGAAGGAAGGGGACGCTTACTTGTTGAGTTTACGCCCTGGGACTATTGTCGGTCCCATGTTCTAGCCATGTTATGATAGAGAAGGGGACACTTACTTGAGTTCTGGCCCTGGTTTTGTTGACTGTTCTGGGGTTGTGATGAGGGGGGAGGAGGCTGTCCTTGTTGACCATATGGGTTCATCACACCTGAAAAAAATTATGGTAAAATTAAGTATCAATAATGAAAAGGAATAATCCTAAATTATTGAGAATCATTTAAATCTTATTACATTTAATTTGGTTCTCATTTTGAGCAGTGTCTCTTGTATTTGAAAACAAGAGATCCCAGAGGGATCTTGGCGCCTACCATTGTACCATCTTCATTAGTTCTATGTCAGTTTGATTTTTTATCTTCACTTCTCTTATCTGTTTGATCAGTTTTCCTGCCCGCCATCTTAATCAGTTCTTTGATCAACCTCAAAGGTTAACATGCACAACTCAGGACCAAGCAGAACCTACATATCAAATTTGAGACAGAATCTTCCAGTAAATTCTGAGAAGTAGCGATAACAAACTAAAACTGTTACAAGATGGCTGCCTGTTCGAATTTTGGTTTTCAGATCAGTGTAACTTGATCTTTTACTCCCAAATTCAATACGACCACCTACTAGCCATATTGAAATACAGAACTAGGAAACATGGGGTACGTTCATGTGAAATTTGAGAAAGACCCCTCCTGAACATTCTGAGAAATAACGCTAACAAACTTGTAATCTCAAATTTCAAGATGGCTGTCTGTCGGCTGTCTTGGTTTTCCCTTCTGTCCCAAAATTGAAAAATGCTTAACTAGGGACCATGGGGACCTTTAATGTAAATTTGGGAAAGACTGAACCCTCAAGCATTTTCTAAAAAGTAGCCCTAACAAACTTTAACTCTCAAATTCTAAATGACTGGCTGTCGGCCATCTTGGTTTTGTGATCAGTCCCAAAAAATGTTATGCCTAACTATGGACGATGAGGAACCTTCGTGTGAAATTTGAGAAAGATCCCTCAAGCACTTTTTGAGAAATAGTACTGACAAACTTTAACTCTCATGTTCAAGATGGCTGCCTGTCTGCCCTCTTGGCTTTGTGATCAGTACCAAGAACCGATATGCATAACAAGGGATCATTGGGAGCCTTCTTGTAAAATTTGATAAAGATCCCTCCAGTACTTTTCGAGATATAGCGCCAACAAGAATTATTTAAGGACAGACGGATGGACGGCCCACGGATGCAGGGTGATTTTTTTTGATTTTTTTTTAGAAGACACATGCAAAGAATGAATATGTTCCATAGCCATTTAACTCTGATATAAGAAAGGCTCTACAGTATCTCAGCAATAAATACATTAAGACACAAGTTTAATTTTTGCTCTAAAGAATATTGCTTGAAAATGAAAAGTACCTTGAAAACATCACCTCCCCGAAAGCAAGTATTCCTTACAAGGACAAAACAAGGTTGTCATGTACTTACCTGGCGGGGGTGGCATGCCTGGTGGAGGGAAGGGTGGCATCCCCATGGGTGGCATTGGTGGTGGTGGCATCGGCACCTGCTGTTGGTTGGAGTTGGGCGGTGGCACTGGAGGTGGCATCATACCAACAGAGGAACCCATACCTGTGTATATAAACAAACCAAGGTAAAGGTCGTCTACTATTTTACATCAACAAGATGGCGACTTCTCCAACGTATTACTTGTATCTCCCCGAATGCTCTTTTATTCTCGATATACAGACTCTCTGGACAAAATACAAACATTTTTCAAGTACTGCTCTATCATTTTCTTGCAAATTTCAAGGTCAAATAAAAAAAAAAAAAAAAAAAGGAAAACGCTTTCAAAATGGACNGACGCTTGATATTATCATTAATACCAGTTATATCGAAAATATTTCGATGATTGATTGTGATATTCCATTTAAGTATCGATATGTAGTGATATTCAGAATAAACAAACAGAACTTATGCATTTGTCAGACATCCTGTTGATTCTTACAAGGGAGCTTCCTGTTATGCATCAACAGATTTAGATACTGGGAGGTAGTCTGACATCACAAGTGCTAGCACTTGACATCTATTTAAAGGGACAATTCAGTGAAGTAATTTTCTTTATTACCTGAAAATCAAGTCGCTACTGAAAAAATATGTATCTCATTACAAAAGTTTACGTAGTTGACAATGACATAACCTGAAGCCAACGTCCAGTGTGGTCAGTGACCATGACATCTTTAGGAAAAGCCGATGATAAAAATAGCTACGACAGAAAAAGCTCAATATCCGGGCCTTTCAGTGAGAAGTAAACATGTACAGCACTACGCTGTCGACCAACAACACAGTGTCAGTTATGAGTCCGAGTTCACACATAACTCATTCTTGAATTTACACAATATATCGCAAGTAAGAATTATAAATAGCATAATATATACCTCTAATCAGATATTTCTGTTCACATTTGGATTTGAATAAAAACGAACATGTTCAATTAGAGCATGCACGCACTGAGAGGGTACCGGTGCCGCAGGGAGAATTTCAAACCTCAGAAAGTACGATATCGATAGGTTTAAACGCTGTTGGAAGATGATTTTGATTCAAAATAGATGTATATACTTGTATTCAGAGAGGCTAGGCGAAAGAAGTTACCATCTCTCCTCGGCTGGAAAGACATTTTTGTTAGCTAGAAATTCACCGACAGCTGCCGCTCAAACGTACGGCTGTACAGTTAAGGATTTCTCCATTACTGAATAAAAATGCCAAAAAAACCTGTCTCTTGTCAATTTCTTGACATGAATTGTTCATGTGGAGGTTTCTTGTCAATTTCTTGACATGAATTGTTCATATGGAGTATCAAACTATATAATCATGAAGAGTTTTGTGACCAAGTTATAAAACAAGAGGCTCAAGGGCCTTAGCGGTCACCTGAGTTATATCATAGGTACTGGTAGCTTTATTTTATTGTTTAGATGTGATGTGGAAATCAGCATGTAAACTAAGTGAAATACAATACTTGTCATGTCATCAAAGGATAAGAATTGGAAAATATTGGTTAATGTTCCCTTTGGGTCCCCGCCCTAGCCCCTGGGGATGGGGCAGGAATCCCAATTTTACAAAGTAATACTCTCATTCACCAAAGATGATTCTGACTAAGTTTGAGTAATTTTCTGCTAAAAATGGATAAAATATATACCCCAAAGTGTTATTTCCCTATATAAACTATAGTAAACTTTACCCCCTCCCCAAGGGAGAACGGATAGCTCGGGGGTCCTGAAATTTACGATTAAAGTAAAGCCGCTGATGATCTTTCTTTCCATGTAGAGAAAGCGATTAGAATAGGTCACTTGAGCAAAGCTCAGGTGAACTAAAAAACTTACTTCACTAAATTGTCCCTTTAATAATAACGTCAGGGATCCAAGACAAAGTGTCGGACTGGAAACCTCTTGTACTGGGTTTTTGTTGAAAATTCTGTTTGAGATGTGCAAGAACTATCAGTGCTGCAACTTGTACCATTTCACCACTGTACACCTTCATGGACTCATCCAAATCAATGCATGGTCCAGTTCATTAAAGTTACATAGGGTAGAAAGGGTTCAACCTTAATATCTGTATCTGTTATTTTTTTGAAGTTCTTCATTACCAAATTGAAAACACAGTATAATAAAACTAGGTTTAATGATTTATTTCATGTACCATAGGGTTTTGAAAAACCCCTGGTCATGTATACAATATATAATCATTATTTTTACCAACCTTGGTTTTGGCCACCGAGTCCCATTGGTGAGGGAGGAGGAGGGGGCGGGGCTATAGAAGAAGGTTGGGCTGGAGCTGGCGGTTGTTGTGGAGGGGGTGGGGCATCGGCAAACAGCTGATGAGGCCGGTCTGTGAGTGACAGTGGATTCTGCTGGGCAAGGAGACGCTCTGAAACAAAATCAAACAATACAAACTGAAAGCAGTAAACAGGAAGGTTGAACCACAATATTTACTTTTTTCCCATTTCTTTTTACTATTTTAGTTGCCCAGAGCTGTACAAATACAAAGTTATTATATAATTAGACACACATATAATATATATACACATAACCAAAGAAGAAATAGCAAAAATGCGGGCAAAGGAATTTGTCAAATGTTTTACGCGATCTGCACCTTTATTAAGTCATAGACATGAACACAATCTGATTAAAATCATCTGTTACATGTCTTCGTTAACTTCGTACTACGCCTGAACATCTGAGTGTGCCGCGGTCAGGGTGACCTTTATATTTATGAATACTCATTAAATTTTGACCAATCAGAGACCCTCTTTCAAAAGGGCGCTCGGAGATGTACCAAATATGTTGGACATTGATGAGAATGATGCGAAAGTTCTGAAGTTGTTTGAGATTGATCGTCTGAAACACGAACAGAAAAAGATATGCGAAGCTTTATTAAAGAGGAAAAACTGTATGGCGGTGTTGCCTCCGCAATTATTACCTAAGGGGTACGTTTTCCTTGGCGTCGTAGAAACGTCAGTTCCCGCCGCCATATTTGTTTTGGAAAACTAATCTGTTTGATACCCCTCGCTATTTATCTATCAACCATGATATTCCGATTCGCTGGCAAACTTTTGCCAGCGCGCCTCTGATTGGTTCATCTAAAGGTCACCTGAACGTGACCCTGACCGCGGCACATTCAGATGTTCAGGCGGAGCCATGTAACAGATGATTTTAATCAGATTGACATGAACAATGACATATCACAGCATTTACAGATATTTTGGTAAGTAATATTTCCTGCTTGTGTCTTGATTAAGACAATACTGTGTCCTTCTAAGACCTTTCATCATGCTACAGTGCGTGTTGATTTTTTAAAAAGAATTCTGAATGTAAAAAACAGTACGCCATCTTTTATGGTATATTCGGAGTTAGGACGTCTGACTTTGCATATCATCAGGAAGTGTCGAATAATCAAATATTGGTTGAAACTAATTAAATGCGACAATTGTGTTCTTAAGTCAGTTTATGAAGATATGGATGAATGTTATCACAGAAACTGTATTTGGCGTTGTCAAGTTAGAAAATTATTATTGTCTTCTGGTTTTGGTAATGTCTGGTTAACTCATTATGTTGATAATGAAAGGGTATTTTTACATTGTTTCAAGCAGCGTTTGACAGATGTTTTCATTCAAACAAGTAATGAATTTGCTGAAAGATCATCCAAATGTTATTTGTATAAATTCCTGAGAGATATCTTTACGTTACAATTTTATCTAACAAAGTCTATTCCAGATGCGTATCTTAAACTTATTTCGAAATTACGACTTTCATCGCATCAGTTATATATAGAAGAAGGTCAGTATCGTAATATTCCGAGGGCGAATAGGTTATGCCGTTATTGTAATCAAAACCAGGTAGAGGATGAGTTCCATTTTGTTCTGATTTGTTCACTCTATGTTGATGTTCGTAAAAAGTTCATTAAAAAGTATTACTGGAGCCGCCCATCTTCATATAAACTTGTCCAGCTGCTAGATGTACATAACAGAAAAGAGCTGTGTAATTTAGGAAAATATCTGCAATCAAGTTGGTTAGAACGGTCTAGATTCCAACCTTAGGTTATTGTGTTTTTTATCACACTAACATTTGAGTACTTGTTTATTTCCAGGTTAACACATATTGTTTTGTCCATCCCCTGATCACTACATCACTGCATACAAATTGTATGCCTGTTTTTTGTTTTTATAATTAACATACTCTTTGTTGATCCCCAGTTATTAAGAAAATGTTGTCACCTCATCTGTTTTCCGATAGTCACGGTACACTTAGGTGAGGTAATTTTATAAGAGCTGTCCATCTTCCGATAATTTATTTATCTTGTACTTCATAGTAATTTAAAGAATTAAACATGTGATGTAGAAGATTATGCTTCATACATGATGTTATAAATATTTGGTATTTCATATCACTGATGTATCAATTATACGTTGCTATGTATGCTTATGAGCCGTAAGGCTTCAAATTGAATAAACAATACAATACAGTACATCAACCCCTGACCATTGATTACACGACTCACCTGCCACAGACCCGTGTCTTTCTCCCTTGGCATCCTTTTTGAAGGCGTAGGATATAGAAATCGCCCTGTTACACAGGTATTGGCCATTCATAGCTTCTATTGCTGCGTCTGATGCCTCAAATGATGCAAAATTGATGAAGGCGTAGCCTTTGGAATTTCCAGTGTCTGGATCTCGCATTATCTGAAGGGAAAATTTGAGCAAAAATTAATACTGTTTACTGGGAAACAATCTGAACTCGCCCAGTCAAATATCTGTCCTTTGCTGATAAAATCAACCTTTGTCTAGTGTTAATTGTGCCCTTCACATTTCATTCCTATTGTGTGTTGTGTGCTAACATTCGCTGTCATGATAGATTCGCCCTTGTTGGGGAGGGCGGAAAAGGCAGAAATTAAACTACAGCAAAAAAATTCTGGTACCTGGTATATACATTACTGTAAATTGTACTTATTTTAGCGCAACCAAGTTTTAGCGATTATCAAATTTTAAGGAGTTGACGTTTTGATGAACTGGCGAACAAACACTTTAGTTTAACTCATTCACCCCTGAAGACACATTTGAACTCTTCCAGTTCAAAGGTTGGAATAGTTCATTATGAAATTTCAGTGGTGAATGAGTTAAACAGTATTTATTCACTATTCAAACATGTTAATTACACAGGGATTGGAAAACAAGCTAAGAGCTCAACTCTATACTGGATGGTACAGTAACTGCAAAAATCTCAAAATTGTTATAGCAAAACATGGAAACTACACGAGGCACTGCATCTCAGCAAAGGCTGTTCACATTTAGTGTGAATTGTTCAATTGTACCTATCATTCGTACCAAACAAACCTGTAAAACATTCAAGCTTCAATCTATATCCTTTCTGTCAAGAATTCAAAATGTATCTATCAAATTCCAGTGCTTTCTATATATAAAAGAATTAGAGGCAGTTTTCTCTGAAATATTAGCGATTGCTATAAGCCAGAACAAAAGTTTTGATTAGCAATGAAGATGCACCCCCAAAATGTTCAGTTAATTTAAAGGGAAGTTTTTATTGTTTTAATCTAAGGAATGCAAAGCTATTTTTGATTTAATGCCAATGACAGAAAAAAATATTGTATTCAAACTGAGAAATTGATGAAGGGAGATAATTTAAGAAAAACTACAGAATTATCATTTTTCTATCCAAAATGTAAATTCAAAATATGAGCAAGTCAATGCTACACAATGAATTTCAACATCTCATAGATCATTAATCCATTTCCTATAAGCTTTTTTTTTCAAGTTGAACTAACATCCTCCCAAATATCTACATGTACATTATTGAACATGTTACCAATGCAGGGAAAATCCTGAAATTTGAGAGCAGTGAACCCTTTCAGCAATTTTTAGTTAATATCAAAATTAAGAGTGGGCATTCTTTGTAAAATTAAAAGAAAATTGAAACATGGGTCAATGGCCCCATAGCCCTCTCTAGGATTACCCCTGCCATTGTAGATATTTTTAAATGAGGTTTTTACCATTTTGTAAGACTCCATCAAAAATCTATATTTACATTTGCGCTGCAACCCACTATATGAAGATTACCAGCAGAAATGCATTTCATTTGAGTATGAAAGCAAAACCTCATGTGGCGTATTTCGTGGTTTACTTATGACATCATGGATAAACCTTGTTCAATGAGAGTCTTGTCGCTTCGCTTCGGTTTACACGGAGAATGTCTGTACGTCAAACACTCAAATGACTACGGTTAATTATTGGCGCCAATTTGTTTAAAATAGGGCTGTTCCGCTCATGTCGTTAAAAGGATGAATCATAAACAAAACGCAGTTATTAAATAAATTATACAAACAAAATGCAGTAATAAAATAAATTATTTAAGAACAAATAACAAACATTTGTTCTGTAGTAAAAATGTTAATATATGGATTGAACGATGTTTATTAAATGTTCATGCCCGTATGAACGTAGCAGCCTTCATACAATAGGATGTAACCGATTTGCCTTCATACTGACATGAAAATTTAAAAAAAACGTCGTTCAATCGTTGGTCCGTGCAATATGGCTTAAACATTTTTGCATGGGACAGTAATTCCTATTTCTCATTGTAAATAAACAGCAGTATGTTTACCTTAGGTGTTTGTAATATTACACCAAATGCACTGAATGTGTCGTATAGTAATTTCTCATCCACTTCTGGGTCTAAGTTTCCAATAAAGATATTGGCACCCACATCAAGGTTCTTCTGATGAGCAGACGCCTGTTTAAAAAAAATAAAAAAAATATGGTTGGAGTTTCAATACCGTTTTGTCATATTAGAAATTTCACAATAATTATTTGAATTGTTTCCATTCATTCTGAAATTAAATATCCACAAATCTGTAATTCAAATAAATCTTCGTAAGTCACATACTACAGAGATGAGAATTTTGCAACAATTTACTATCACATCCATGGGAAACATCATGTATAGCAAGGCAAATAATATGTCAATAATAGTATGATCAATTCTGCCTACAAGTGTGGCATACAGTAGATCAAAACAGTTTTGTAAACGATTATTATTGTAGTTGTTGTTGTAACAACTTAATCACAAGGATTTCACTTTGCAGTATATTGCAACCACAGTTATAGGCTCTTTGCTTAATATTGGTTATTCAATAAATACAGATGACTAACAAGATATTTGAGTGATAATCTATATGGCGAAGTTCAGGTGATACAGTATACGGGTTGTCGGGTGGGTGGCACAGTGTATCAAAGTGTATCACACACTTGCCTTTTACCTGACCAAGGTGGCCGGGGTTTGATTTCCTTGATCTGACGTAAAACAGTATATATGTATATGGCCATCTGCCCGACAACATGGTATTTTTACGGTTACTCTGGTTCACTCCCGCATTGAGACTCCCACCCCCTAACATCTGGGCCAACAAGAGTGATTAATATATGTTGAAAGAACTTGTTTAAATATAGTTTATGTATATATAAATATATTACATTTGCTCTACATTGCCTCTATGTAACACTACCAAGGTCAGTTCTGAATTATGAGACCATAACACAGGCGTAGTGATATCTCCTCGGGACCGACTAACTACTGGATAGCTTTCCCCTACGCACTAGTTTGGAAAAGAAAAAATCCTCACTATGATTCAATAATATTCACCATTTTATGTAAGGATATTATAAAATGTGAATTGAACATTTTGAATGATTAAATTATCGTGTTTTTTCCCTCAAACTATATTTTTTACGGGAAAAGTCACGAGACAACATTCCGTGAGCAATGCCATGGGCTGTTTTACCTCTTGAACAAACATGGTGAAATTTGAATTTAAAGGTGCGTTGTGAACTCAGAAATGAAAACTAAAAAAAAATGAAAAAAGTAAATATAAGCATAAACCAGCATTCTGTTCCGGGTTATGGTCCTATAAAACGGAACAGGATTGCAGACACATAATCATAAGCGTTAATACACGTTATTCTTTTTGTTTGCAATCCTGTTCCGTGTTATAGTCCTATAACACAGAACAGGATTGCAGACAAATAATCATAAGCGCTAATACACGTTATTCATTTTGTTTGCAATCCTGTTCCGTGTTATAGGACCATTACACATAACAGAATGCAGTTTAATGCATAAGTGCATTACCTTGTTGACTCGTATTGGTTTGCCATACAGCTTTATCATGTTCATTATCTTTATGGCATAGTCTGCGTCCTCCTCTCCCATAAACTCGACGAACCCATAACCTTGGTGACTCTGGGTCACACGGTCCTTTGGCATGTGTACATTCACTGAAAATCACAGTCATGACATTTTTTTTACATCTCATCATAAATAAATATAACCAAGTTGCAAGAATTCAGGTGAATCTTCCTAAACAATTAAATTTTCTCCGACCTTCTGATTGATTTCTCTCCCATTAGTCCGACACATTTCTGATCAGGGAAAGATATATCTTTCTCTTACCCTGGACAGGTGTATCTGCACTTTTACCGTATGAGATTTCCTTGTCTTACCTTAGGGTTGAGACGGGGGGGATTCCCCTATTCATAACAATGGTATGACGTCACTTCAACAATACAATGAAGTCACATCAAACCTGAATTAAGCCTGTGATGTTAACATTACATTTTGTATATGATACATAATGGGTGAACAGGGTAAGATAAAAAGAATCATTCACCCCCTTGTGGGTGAGATAGGGGAATCTCAAACACTCGACAATGCCTCATGTTTGGCAACTTATCATTAAGAATCTTCCCCCTCAGGTTGAGATTCCCCTATCTCACCCCCAAGGGCGTGAGAGATTCTATTAACTTTACACCCAAGTTGGGGAAAGATTATATCAATTAATATTGTTAACAATTCCATCTCTAAATCTACACAATCACAATGTCTTCTAGTACTATCCTCATTCTAACATGATGATTCAGGACTTTCAGTAGATACTTGAGAGTATGTTCCGACTCCCCAGAATAAGCTTGGACTCTTAGGTTTAAAAAGAAGACTGATATAGACATTAGACATAGCCTGTTGTCAGATTCTTTTGTCAATACTGTTCTAACATCTTCTTTAATATATACAACTTATCTGTTTGTATTATATATGTATTGTCAATAAAATAGTTTTGAATTATTTAAAAAGTTGTTTTTATTTTACATCTGTTTTGACTGAAATGTGATTTCAGTGAAAATCTCTCGTTTTCTGAAATTACCACATGTCAAAGGTTAACTGAAAGGCTTGTAATTGTGATGCAACATATACTGACACAAGATATCTATTATTTTGTTTGTCTTACCAACAGGACCAGCCTGAAGGAAAAGTTCCCAGAGAATGGCCTCCAAGACCTTCTCATCCAGGCCACCGACGTACACCGTCGCATCTGGAAAGGAAAAAAAAAGCAATGCCAGTTTCATGATTACAACTAATACTCATCTGTGGGTGACATCATAAAACTACAAGTGTTCATATATTCAACTTATCGAGTCATTTTAGAGATGTTTTGGAATCAGTTATAAGTTAACATTGCGTGTCAGATTTGTCTCTGACAGGACTAGGAATTAATTTTCAAAACCACAAGTCAGTCGGGCTAGTATTTTCCAATTTTACTAATCCATTTGCAAATTCCACTTACCAATTATAATTCTACATGATTAGTCTTATAGAATTTTGACAGGTCAATCAGGCAAACAGTTTTAAGAATCAAAACCACTAATCAAGCTGCTGAGCTGGAGATTTTGTTAGTCTCAGGCTTGCTGCAGGCTATCCTTAATTAATGCCTTATTGTTTAACCCTGCATGTCGTCAACCTGCAGGGCACTGACATTTTATAGCATTCATTAAAATTAGTGGGGGACCGACTAGTCTATGATTTTGCACCATCACACATACCACAGGGGCATATGCAACTACTATTAACATTGATCTTGTTGGACTTTCAGTCGCTGGGTACGGTTGTATTGGGATATAACGTACCCAGCGACTGAAAGACTAACAAGATCAATGTTAATAGTAGTTGCGTGCCCGTATCTGTTGTGCCCAGCACAAATCAAAATTTGGCGAAACTGAATCAAGACCCAGAGCTGGCCCTGGAGATGATTCTACAGCCTCCGTATAAGGTAGCAGAGTACAGTAGCGTACGGTGGCCATGGGTGATATTTTTATACAATGAATAACCCCTGTAATATAACATGTATCAAAATTTAAAAAAAAAATCAGCACTAAAATTGGCATATACATGATGAAGTGGACTATGTGGGCTTCATAATTTTTTTAAAAAAAAAATGAATTTGGTTTGAGACTACAATTTTGGGCATTTACAAATCTGTATCTACACAACAAAAGCTAGCTTTTCATGTAGTCTATTTTTGTACTCAGCACATGTGTAAATATTGTGAAAAATCCACCGGAATGACCTATGCTAAAACGTGAGTATTTCTGTTACCGAGTAGGCGATATTTAATTTCAGACAGGTTTTAAGAAAAACAATTCTACTTGCGGGGGTCAAATTCTGGGTTAAAAATCATGATTTTTTGCATATTTTGGTGTTTTTTGATGTGGTAACCATGGTTTTCAGAAGTCCCAAATCTGGGGAAATCACTTTTTGAAAAAAAAAATGTTCTTCTAAAAAACACCTATTCAAAATGAAGTTTATAAATATAAATATATATATATATGTAGGTGTGTTGTGCAGGATGAATCCGCTATCCATGCTTATCCGAGACATGCCCTTTATTTTTAGGGTCAAGCCATTTCTACTGTACTCTGCCACCTAAGATAAAGTGTTAAAAGTTCAAATTTCTGCGGTCTTTTTAATACATCCCGATAACATACTTGCCAACTCTCCCTATTTAGGAGAGATACTCTCGAATTTTTACCCTTATATTTAGTATTTTCAACCAGTGAATTTGCTAAACTAATCCAATATTCTAAGATCTAATGATTTCATCTGAAAGCACAACTCAAAAAATGTCATTTTAAGAGTTCTTTTGTTTCTAGGGTGTATATACACACATTTTATTTAGGTTTTAATTTTGAGAATCAAAATTTCCCCCAAGGAAATTTTAAAAAGTTGGCAAGCATGCGATAAAGTGTGTTTTTATATGTTAGTGCCGACACATCTCTATCATATGTACCGATTATCTCTTCTTTCGGTACTGAAACCTCTTGTGCCGAAACGTCTTAATTAGGATGGACCAGACCTGCCTATATTTCGCGTTCGTTGACATAATTTGACAAAGGCATATCAAAATACACCAGAACATTAAATTTGAATGGAGATTTCAAATGAAACTTATTTCTATGAACACATAACTATGTCTACGAAACAACCCATTATCAAGCTATTGTGAGATTTCTGCACAAATTTGGACAAGATCGTTTAAAAACGTTTCAAAACAAATAAAAATAAATGGACCGTTGTTGACTATTTACAATGCATTGTTTGTGAAACGACAGGAACGGGACCATTACCACCTGGTTGTAAATTAACGATAAGCGTAAAGAAATGGTTAAAGCTAAATTAAATGTCTCCGAATGAGCACCATTGAACATACAAACCCTGATTCCTTTCTGCAATCGGACCGGCAGCCATTCTTACGCCATGCGTGCCCGTGGAAAGAACGCACCTCACACGTAGAGAGTTCAGGGGTAAGGGTAATGTCAGGAATTCGATCTCAATCGGACTAAAAAATATACAATAATTTTCGTTCAGAAAACTTTTTACGAAAGAAAATTATAAATTGTATATATATTGCCCAATTCTACTGATACATATAAAAATTGGTTGCAACACCATGACCTGCTATGAAATAGAAATGGCTGTATTTTCAACAATGTTTGTTCTTTAAATCTTTTTAATGTCATGGACTATATCAAAACATAATTAGAGTTGATTGCAAAACCGTTACAGGGATGAGAAAATGTACGTACATTTTAGGATGGCAAATGCTGTTTTCCTAAGGAAAATTTTGATAAAATTTCTGAAATTTTCATTAACTATATATATTCTGTCCTTTTCTGTCCTTTATATAGACCTTCTTTCTTTGACAAATGGAGAATCACCATTCCAATGACCAGAATCAAATTAAGTGTTATATACGTATTTCCCAGCATGGGTTTGAATGTAATTAATTAATATAATTGGCTGTTCAATTGATAAATGTATGGGAATTAATAGTTTTCAGTTTGATATGTTGAAATATTGAAGGAACAGTTGATAAAAATGTCAGCACTTATTCAAATTTTCCTTATGATACTGGCATGCCACATTAGTTAAAAAAATGATGCCATACTTTTTTTACGTTTAACACAGTCGTATTCAGTGGCGTAACAAATCATTTTTCGGAGTGTATGCTTACATGGGGTCGAGCGCCGGAGGAGGGGGAGGGTATGGGAGAGGGAGTTCCCCCTCCTATAGGTTGAAAAAGAAATAGAATTCTACAAGGCCCTTGAAACAATCTCTCGTAATCTGGGAAATCCTTTTAGTCTGATTATAAAAAATACGACTTTTCATATGAATAATATTATTTTTGTACTTCACTAACTAGTTTTTTTATTTAGAATTCTACATTAACCTTTGAGATTTTCAACGTTTTTATCAGACTAAAATTTTCAAGAAGATTTTTTTCCCTCCTTTCCTTTTTTTTGTCGATTGATACAGACGGTCCATATTAATCATTAAAAAAGAAATTAATAAACATGTATATGATTAAAAAATTATTGAAAAATTTAGTGAATGCTTGATACATTTAAAAAAAAATTCAATTCAATAATTTTATTGCTCATTTATAGTTACAGAGTAACTTGAAGGCAAATAACAAAACAACAAATACATGTATGCTACGCCACTTGTTATGTAAAACATAAGAAATAATATATTGATAATAATATTAACCTAATCTAAGTCACTCGCTAATTATCATTTTTATCATTTTTTTCCAACACAGTTATATTTTTACCATATTTACACTATTCAATCACAGTATGTCAGTACAGTTAAATTTCATCACCACAATCACACTATTATATGGAACCATAGTTACACCATATGGTGTGTGTTACACTATAGAACCATAGTTACACTATATAATCATAGTTACACTATAGAACCATAGTTACACTATCAAACCAAAGTTACACCGTATCACCATAGATACACTATAGATCCATAGTTACACCATATCACCATAGTTACACTATCGAACCATATTTACACCAAATCACCATAGTTGCATTTTAGAACCATAGTTACATCATAACACAATAGTTATACTATAGAACCATAGATACACCATATCACCATAGTTACACTATAGAACCATAGTTACACCATATCACCATATTTACACTATAGAACCATAGTTACACCATGTCACCATAGTTACACTATATCACCATAGTTACACTATAAAACTATAGTTTCACCATATCACTATAGTTACACTATAGAACCATAGTTACACTATAGAAACATAGCTACACTATAGAACCATAATTACATTATATCACCATAGCAACACTATATTACCATAGTTACACTTATCACCATAGTAATACTATATCACCGTAGTTACACTATTTCACCATAGTTATATTATATGACCATACATCATAGTTACACTATTTCACCAGTTACACTTTATCACCATAGTTACACTATATTACCCCAGTTACACTATATGAGCAAAGTATTTCTGATTTTGACCATGATCAAATCACTGAGAAAGATTCGTAGAGGTCTGCAGACATTTCTTGATATGTTATATTTATCTGTGATGAAGTATTATTTATTTTCTGTTTTCCTTTGTGGGGAGGGAAATAGTGATGACTCGCGTCATATCTATTACATGGTAACAAAGGATGACGTCACATTTCTTTTTGAAGAAGAAAAAACAATCTTCAACAATGTACGAATTCATGTTTCAAGATCCCTCGTTCAGATCACCAGGAGAGTTTAATGCAATCGTTGTTAAACGACTGGAATGTACGCCACCATTATATATTTGGAAACAAATGGTATGATTAAACAATTTTTCAGATATCTAGTGAAAAATAAATATATATCTATATACATATAATAGTGAATATATATGAATGAGAAGAAATAACGTAAGTTAATATTTCATCTCACACACTGTACTTGCAATATGTGTTAGAATTACGCTAAATGCACTGCCTTACACATTATAACTGATTTGTGTTAGACTTAAACCCTTTAAAACCCTTTAAATCTTGTATTCCTTTTCATAAGAGTTAAAGGCTAGCTAGAATTGAGAGGGTATATATGTAGCGTTACCTTTGTCTGTCTCTTTATCCATCTACCAAATTTCGGTGTCCTCATATTTTCATATTCACTTCCCATTTTTTTTTTATGTGACGAAATTTTAAGATTCAATTCAAATGAATTTGCCTGCCAAGACCATGCATTAAAACTTGACATGCAGGAGATAAAGGCGCATAGTCGCCGGGAACATTTTATATCTCACAATATTTTCTACATTGATGTAATTCATGTTCTCACGCACAATTTCAATTTAAAAGTATTAAGGCATCTATGTCTTTTTTTGAGGAAAGAAAGATGGAAGAGTTATCTTTCTTGCCTCGCTGTATTGTCGGTATTTTCACGATACTTTAGTGAAGTAAGTTTTTGTAACCTTGTCACAAAATTCTTCATGGTTGTATAGCTTTATACTTCTTATGAGCAATTCATGTCGAGAAATTGACAAGAGACAATATTTTCCTGGCGTTTTCAATCAGTAATTGAGAAATCCTTAACTGTACCGCCGTACGTTTTAGCGGCAGCTGTCGGTAAATTTCTAGCTAACAAAAATGTCTTTCTAGTCGAAGAGAGAAGGTAACCTCTCGTTTTATTCACCTAGCCTTTCTGGAATACAAGTACAAGCATTTATTCTGAATCAAAATCATCTTCCAACAGCATCTCAAACATCGTTATAAATGAGTGATATATTTTACGTTTAAACCTATTGATATCGTACTTTCTGCCGTTTGATATTTTCCCTACGGCACCCTCTCAGTGCATCTAATTGAACCTGTTCGTTTTTATTCAAATCCAAATATGAACAGAAATATTTGATTAGAGGTATATATCATGATACCTATAATTCTTACTTGCGATGTATAGTGCAAGTTCAAGGATGTGTTATGTGTGAACTCAGATTCATAACTGACGCGTAGTGCTGTATATGTTTACTTATCACTGAAATGCTCGGATAGCTATCACCGGCTTTCCAAAAGGATAAAACTGACCACACTGGACGTTGGCAGTCAGGTCATGTCATTATCAACTACTTAAACATTCGTTAGAAGCTATATATTTCAGTATCGACTCGATTTTCAGGTTGTCATTTGACTAAATAGACCCTTTAAAAATACCATAAAAATATATCAATAAAATAACAAAGACTTAAGCATTTATTTAACTTGCAACCATTAATGGATATCATTTTGTTTTAATTGTGTGATAATTTGTATAAATAGTATATACACATGCATGATCTTGGTCCTATGGTCCGATTTTATCCATATTTACGATTGTATATAAAATATAAAATTGAGTGATCAAACCAGGTTTTTTTTTATTTCTTTCTGGAGTGAGTCTAATATGTATCCTACGTGTTTCGATACGCTGTAAAAGAATAAACCTCATTAATCACACTGCATGATCGTAAGGCGTGACTAATGTAGTCCCAAACCGCCACCACCCACCACCACCACCACCACCACCACCACACGGGGACCTATCCTGCAGGATCATCCTTGACACTCCAGGAGGTACGCTTACTTTCGCCGTCTGCACCCCTAAACTATGTCATAGAAAAATTGAAGGCACGAAGATAGCTGTTTGATGTGTCTCAGGTAAAAAATAACCTGACCAATCGCTAGGATGATAACTCTCCTTTGAAGATTACAAAGGAGCGGCACCCGACTTCAAAGCAAGCCAATGTTTACCGTTACGAGATCGCGAGATTCTTTTGATGTACATCAAAGTATCAAACTAGTCCCCTCGTCTCATCCTCAAGATGGCGCACACTGAGCCTTCGATTTTGCTATGATATATTCTAGGGGTGCAGAGAGCGAAATTGAGCGTAACCCCTGGAGTGTCGAGAATGTATCCTGATGTGTAAATAGTAATATTAGACGTTTAATGCTGATTTGTGCTACTTCGTTGTTTGGTCTTTTCGCTCTAAAAAGACGGGATTAAGTAAATTTTAATTCTTGTTGTTTCGTCCGTGAACGGACAAGTTTTAATAAATTGCTTCAATCTCGTTCGTCTTTTCGACCCGGATTTACACCCTGAAAAAAAACCACGAAAATAAAATGTCACTAATAAGCGTGTATCTATTGTCGTCTTTTCGCATTTAGATCAACTCTTGTTACAAATGCCATCCTCAATGATGGCTTATTTTCTCAATGAAATGTCGCAGCCTAGACCTCTTATACTATAATGGGGTATGCTGGTCGTGGCGAGAAGACACAACATGAACACAGGGAGATGCTCGTGGTAAGAGGACACATCATGACCACATGTAAACGGTGGGCATGAAGGCACAACATGAACACAGGGTAATGGCCGTTGCTAGAGGGCACATCATGAACACAGGGAGATGGTCGTTGCTAAAGG